TATTTTATTTTTATTCATTTAATTTTAAATTATGTGATTAAAGAAAAAAATAAAAATAAAAATTAAATATTAATCAATATTTAATTTTTAATATTATAAAATATTTTCAGGATCATTTCTAGTTTAAAATAAAGTTTATAGTTTAATGATTCATTTGATACAATAAAAAAAATAAAAATAAAAAATTATAAAAATGAAAAGTTCGAGGAGATAATATTTACGAGATTTCCGCAATAAAATATAGTTCAAGTACAAGTGAAGCGCCGTAAAAGTGAGAGTGCTGTGTTGATGTGGGTTGGATTGAGGAAGTAACACGAGTTTGGCCCAAACCAATAAAAATAGAAGAGACAGGATAGTCCTTTTCTTACTTTGTTAAGGAAGTCGTATGTTTAGACATCACCTTCTAGCATTTAATGTTGTCAGCTGAATCAAATGGATAGGCGGCACACGGCAGACACCTCTTTCATCTTTGGGCTGCGGTTTTGGTTAGGTAGGTGGTGCCTAATTATGATTTCATCCATCCCTAGTAGATTTACGTTCTCTTGAAAGTATTGGGAGGATCTTGAAAGGTTTAGAAAGTCTTTTTTTTTTTTTTTACGTGATGAATTCTTGGTATACGAATTCTAATAATGTAATGTAGTTGAATTTTTGTATCAATTTGAATGAATTAAGCTTTTTAAAGAGATAAATATTTATATGGTAAATAAATCGTATGTATTATTCTAAAATAAATATCATAAACTTTATTGTGTCGATGATGTGAGTGACTATTTCAAGTTTACATAATAATCCAAAGTTAAACAAAAAAAATAGGGCCTTCTTTGATATTTTGGATAATTTAAGTGAGACCGATATCATAAATCTCATGTATTTAAAGTTTGCCTCACTATCAACAAATAGAGTTATTGATTAATACAATTTAAAATACGAGAGCTCCAAATGTTTTAAGCAAAATAAAATAAAAAATAAGAATATGCCATGTGAACACTTATAAACACCAATTACAAATAGTTAGCCAACCCTACAAATGCACATTTGGTAATCGACTAATCTCAACTCGCACCCTTATGTTCTGTTTGGTAAGATGAAAAAATAAAATGTTGAAAAATTGGAGGGATAAATAAAATATCATGTTTAATAAATAAGAAAAATAAGAATGATGAAAAAAGTGGATAAATTAACTTTCCTTCCAACTCACCAAAATTAATCCCTTCAAAATTAGAAAAAAAATAGATAAAAAGTTAATTATTTATGTTGAGATGTATCTTATCTGTTTAAATACATCTTTTACTCCCTCCATTCTTAAATATCTATCGTTTTACACAATTTTTTTTGTTCCATAATATTTGTCATTTAATGAAACAAAAACATAATTAATATTGTTTCTTCTAAATTTACCCTTAACTTTTCAATGCATTAGTTTTGATGGAGACTAAATGTTTTTCATATTCCTTTCCTTTCTAAAACATATTGAATAAGAGTATTTTAGTCTTGTGCAATAATTTTTTACTCATATTAGAGTTATTAATAACTTTTTTAATTCTTGTGCAAAAATCTTAAACGACAGATATTTAGAAATGGAGAGAGTAATATATATATATATTTAATAATTAAAAATAAAAATTTTCGACTAAACACGATGACATGACTCAAACTCAATACGAATTTTATGATACGAACTTTATTATAACTCGACACGAACTTGAAAATGACGTAATACGTGAACAAAAAATATAAAAGGCTCATATTCAATTCAATCTGTCAAACTCCAAATTGACGCCATCAACCCATTTATTTAAAAATAAACACTGTATCTATTTTCTCGTTTGTATGATAACAAAAAATTAACATGAAACTAACATGTTTAACTAGCATTATAAGCATAAAATGTTTATTATTTGTAACTATTTATTAAACACTGAAATAATTATTATATAAAAAAGATATTTTTACCTATTATTATTATATTTATTTAAGTTAATTTTTAGTTTGTAAAAAATATATTAACATAAAATCAATTAAGTGAAAATAAAATATTATTGTTAATTTTTTTTTTAAAGTTTATTTGAATTAACACGAATACAAACACGACATGAAAATAAACAGATTAACTCGCAACTCGACACGACATAATTAGTTAAATGAGTTGAGTTAGGTTTGACTAATGTTCGACATAAGTCCAAAATGACTTAACACGAATCTGACACGACATGACTCAGTTGTCATCCCTAATTTTAGTCAGCACAAAAAAAAAAAATTAGTCATTTTTATTTTCCATCAATTCTACCAAACACAAAGGATGAAAAATACATACTTTCTACTTTCCATCTTTCATACCAAATGGAGCATTAAAGATCACATGAATCTCAATTTATATCATCAAGGTTTAAAAATATCAATTTACAGCCCTAAATGACAAATTTGTAACAATGTGCACCGGTGGTTATCTGTCATCCATTTTGTGGTTAAAAAAGTTTGGAATTATTTCATAGTGCACCTTCAAAGTTTAAATATTGCATATTTATGATTAGAATTTTTTTTATCTATTAATACTCGTTAAATACCTCTCAATTATGTTATTTTGTGTCATGTCATATCATTTTGGTGTTGTGTTTGGGTCGATAAAAAAATATTTTTGACATAAAATATTTTCATATCGAGTCAATTGCGTTGTGTCGTATATTTCACATTTACGATAATTTATATAATACTATTTACTATTTTTTAAAAATTATAAAAATACCTATTATTTATAATTTTTTTAATTTCAAAAATATTTTTTTATTGACTCGAACATGACATGAAAATATTATGACACGATATAATTAATAGCTATTTAACAAGCATTAATGGTAGAAATTATTTTTGGATCATAAATATGAAATATTTAAATTTTAAGGGTGCAATTTATAATTAGTCCAAATTTTTTTAACAACAAAATAGATGACAGTTAATTTCAGATGCACATTGATACAAATTTATGTCTTTTATGCTCCGTTTGGTATGATGAAAAAATATCAGAATGGAAAGTTGGAAGGATGGAAAGTTGAGAGATAAATAAAACATCATGTTTGGTAAGGAATGAAAATAGGAAAGAAGGAAAAGTAAATGAATTAATTTTTATTTCAACTCACTAAAATCAATCTCTCCAAAATTAGAAGAAAAATTAATGATTTGTGTTGAGATGTATCTTATTTGTCTATATATATTTTAATATATACATATATTATGTATACATTAATTTTATATAAAAATACAATGATAAAATATGTATATATATATATATATATACATATTAAAAATAAAAATAAAAGACACGTGAACAAGAAATAAAAGACTCGTACTCAGTTCAATCAGTCAAACTCAAAATTAACATTATCAACCGGTTTCTTTAAAAATAAATACTTTCTCCATTTTCTTATTTGTATAGTAACACGAAATTAACATGTTTAACTAGTATTATAGACATAAAATATTAATTATTTATAATTATTTATTAAACACTGACATAATTATTATATAGAAAAGATATTTTTACTTATTATTATTATATTTATTTAAGTTAATTTTTAATTTGTATAAAAAAATATTAACATGGTTCAATTAATTAAATATAGAATATTAACGTTATATTTTTTATTCAAAATTTATGTGAGTCAATACGAATATGAATACGAATACGACACGAAAATAAACAGGTTAACTCGTAACTCGACACGACACAATTAATTAAATGACTTGAATTAGGTTTGACTAATGCTTGACACAAACCCGTAATGACTCAACACGACTTGATTATTACCCTTAATCTTAGCCAGCATCAAAAAAAAAAAATTATTTTTATTTTCCATAAATCCAACTAAACACAAAAGAAGAAAAATATATTATTCTTACTTTCCTTTATTGCAGGATAAAAAATGTATCCCTCTTACTTTCCATCCTTCCTACTTTCTATCATTTCTACCAAACGGAGCATTAGGGTGTAAATTGATATTTTTAAATTTTAAGAGTTCAAACTCAGATTTAAGTGATCTTTTAGAGTGGAGGTTGAGATTAGTCATTTGTTAATTATGGTAATTTAGAATTTAGTGGTGATACCACACATCGACAATTATTGCATGGCATTTAAAACTCATTATCGTTTTTTACTATTTTTTTATCCTTTTTTAAAATTAAATAAAAAATTAAAAAAATTGTTGAGTAAAGAAAATAATTTGAAAATAAATTAAATAGATAGTGTTGGTTAGTGGATGATCAAATGGATAATTATAAGTGACACATGATAGTATATGACTGGAAAAAACTTTTGATTTTTAGTTAAAAATTCAATCTTCTAAACAATAATGAAGTAGAGAGGGAACGCCTCCGAAGCTCTCTCCCTACTAAATTGCTCGGTATATGTAAGTTAGATGCCAACAACAATCACACCAACCTGCACAAAACAAGGCCTCTGGTAATTGATGTCTGAGTCAATTTGAAGGAGGTTTCATAACTAGTTGAGCTCCAATTCCAGTTCCCAGATATGGATCCTATGCCCAAACAAAACATAAGAATTCTTAACTATATGAACAGCTGCAATGCACAAAATTCAGATCCGGGTATAATCATTGAGAACATCTGAAATTAGCTTTATATGCAAGAGTGTGTATGTGTGCGCACGCCAAGTGAGAGAGAAATATCATAGAAACAAGGAAAACAAACAGCAACTATTAGACAGGCTAGTTAAATTTGAAACTGGGTAATTTGTTTCACCTGCAACACAATCATCACTCTTTATCAATGTTTTCAGTGCATCTAATTACAGGCATTGCGAAATTAGCGCAAAATTCAGATCCAGGTCTAATCATTGAGAAGAGCATAAATTAGGTTATATGCAAGAGTGTGTATGTGTGTGCACGCGCAAGCATGCAAGTGAGACAGAAAGATCATCGAAACAAGAAAAGCAAACAACAATTATTAGAAAGGCTAGTTAAATTTGAAACTGGGTAATTCTGTTTCACCTTCAACACAATCATCACTCTTTATCCATGGTTTCAGTGCATCTAATTACAAACATTGTCAAATTCAACACCATAAATTATTTATGGCTCAGTGGCCAGTGTAAAGAGAAGAAGATACAAATCGATACTCACAAAAACAACACCACAATGAAATCATAAGACACAGCAACATAAGCAATCACAATACAAGCAATTTAGTGAAGAAAAAAACATAGATAGAAATACATGAGTGAAAACTATTCTTCTATTAACGAAGTCACCTCAGTTCAAACCCTGCGCCTTTTTCTTACTTTGCTTTGTTGTGGGGAATGATACATGGATGAATCCGAACCTTTTCCTTTGTGCCAAGTGTTCCTTGTCAACATTTTCATCCCTCATGGTTTTCGGAGGATTTAATATAAGGCTGCTTTGTTCACGAAGCATTTGACTTAGAGACACGCCTCGTCTTTCTGTGTGGTCGTCAATATGCCTTCCCATGACGATATCATCCCGTAGAATTAGCTTTCTGCTCAGTATATCCCCAATTGAAAACGTTGACCTAAAAACAGGCATTGATTTATCTTTGATTAGGTCGCATTCCTCCCCTTGAGGTGCCTGAGAACCTCGATGGCCATGAGAAGAATGGGAATTCCTGAACTTAAACTTGGCAGGGCTATACCCTGAATGCCTTGTTTCAACATGCTCTGATCCCCTTCTGCAAAAACCTTCTTCTGGAATAAGGTTCCTTCTGTTTGTACCTCCTACATTATCCAGAGCCTCTTCCAAGGACTTTTTGCTGTGTTTAATTTCTTCATTTGTTGCCTCCAACTTATTAAGAATAGCCTTTTTCGATAGATTTGCTCCGTTGATATGGTGCAAGGCATTGGCATTGGCATCTACAACTTTCCAGTTAGATAGCTCTTCAGCTTTCTGAGCTTTCTGGGTTAGGACTGAGTACTCTTCAATCGAAAGAGTTATTCCATCAGGCNATTGATATGGTGCAAGGCATTGGCATTGGCATCTACAACTTTCCAGTTAGATAGCTCTTCAGCTTTTTGAGCTTTCTGGGTTAGGACTGAGTACTCTTCAATCGAAAGAGTTATTCCATCAGGCTTTTGCAGGAAAACTTCTGATGGGCTCTTGCCATTTGATAGAGCCTTCCTTTCAGCAAGAGCAACTGCTTCGACCGCTCTAGCTGCCTCATCCATTTTTTTGGCTGCAATTAGCCTCATTTCGACCATATGAATGCTCGTCTTTGTTCGTTCCATCTCTGCCATTGCTTTCATGACCTCATATCTTGCAGCTTCTGTCATATTTTTTATCTGCTCAGCCTCAAAATTCAATTGCTGGAGCTGCGTCGAAATATTCGTGGAATTCTCAGGACCACTTGTAGGTTCTGCATCGTTGGCTTTATGTGGTGTGACTCTTGCTCTATTATGATTCTCCTCAAGGGGCAGCACTTCTACAGAGTTTTGCATTCGCTTCTCACTGCTTACTTCTGTCACAATCTTCTCTTTTCTCATTTTCTTATTGAGAGACTCAACAGAAGCTCTAATTACAGCAAGATCAATTGTAGTTTTATTGAGATTTGATTTTGCTTGGTTCAACTCCATCAAGATTAAACCGGGGGATGGAGCAGGGCACAAGCTCCTACTATCCACAGACTTATCATTCGGAGTAGACATTGGACTACCTGAACTTAGGTCAGGGCTTGCAATGAGTGCAGATACTTCTTTCATCCAATTCATTTTTAAGCCCTCTACAAATTTCTTTGCTTCTTCCAGTTCCTTTAAGACATCAAGTGTTTCCTGTTCTTTCACAATTAGATCCTTTTCCAACTGTGCTGCTTGCTCCTCCAGCTTGTCACTGTCAAACTCTCCAGAAGCATGCTGCTGATAATTAAAAAACTACTCGTAAATTAAACAGAAATTACAAGAAAATGGATGATAAAACGTGCCCATACTTCACAATCAATGCATTACTATAACAGTTGTACAATTAACCATCAATTGTGGGTATGAATGAATGACAGGCAAGCAAGGTCTCCTAGAAAACCCCTTAAAATCATTTCTCTAATGACATAGCCCAGGGTAGGGACAGAGAGTAGCATCTATCATTTTTCAATTTGCCCTCCATATTTGCTTGGAGAACATGAAACCTTCTAAGTCATTGGTAGCTACAAATAGAGAAGAAGTAGAAGAAAAATATATACCTGTGAGTGTGACATTATCGAGATTACACAGAAGGTCCTGCTTTTAAATTTCTAATCCAAACCAAATTCGAGCAAATACAAGAAATATAAATTGAAGGTCCCTACTGTCATTACAGTCAAAGCCGCCACATCTTATACAAAAGCAAAATGAACTGCATCTATATAATAAAAAGTTTAGACAAGTCAATCTGAATCGAGTTGTTTTATGAAACAGTCAAGCTACCTCTCTCATGCAAAATAGAAATAAAAGTTCACTTATTGAGAAGGGGTGATAGCTTTGGTGCTCAATGTACCAAATTTATTACCATAGTAGTAGCATCATGTAACCTTGTTCCATCCGAAGGACACATGGGTAAATCTGCTTCTTATCCTTATTTAAACATCTATTCCAAGTTAGTATACATCAAAATGTTAAATAGGCCGAACCCATAATATTTATTGTAACAAATGACTCACATGTACCCCCTCTTGCTCTATGTTGCATATTTAGAGAAGGATTATAATATATCATTTTATTCAAAATTCCAATTAGGACATTCTTTCTCTTCCACTTCACACTTCAAAACTTCTTAGGGAGAAAAATGTGCTTTCATATCTTCTTAACCCGAAACGACAGAAACGACCGGAAAGAGGGAAGGTTCCTTCTTTTTTTGGGGGAGGGGGGGGGGACTCCCGGGAACAGTGAGACGAGGTGGGGCCTATGGTCTTATATTATCAACTCATCTAAAAGCTAACTTATGTTAATATAAATAGTTTAACAAAAAAAAAAAAAACAAAATAATCCCACACAAAAACAATGAGCATGCTCCATACATATCGGGAGAGAATTGGCCGAAAGACCCAGAAGTCTAGTCTAGAGGAGTTTTAAGAAATCCAAAGACAAAGCATCTAGATTTTGCACTTAAAAATGAAGATATGTAGAAGCTAACACACAGTTTTCATGTGCAGCCAAGACATTAAAATTGAAGATAGTAAATAATTGAATTAACGTGGCGAGTTGCGGGTTCCACCCTCGTCATTTGAATTAAGATGACAAAAAAATAAAGAGAAAACTCACATCAGCAGCTAGTCGGAGCAGGTGAAGGGGGATCCAGGGACCGCTGCCACCAAAACGGGTCACAGCCTCCTTAACCGACTCGAACGGCGGAGACGTGTCGATTTCGACTCTAGGGTTAATCTTCCTCGACTCTTCACAAACTTCAGTGGTTGTTTCGGCTTGGGGCACTGCTGATTCTGAGGTTTCCGCCATTTTTCAAGTTTCCAAAAGCTTCGGAGAATGGAATGGCATGAAATTCAGGCTCCGAAATTTGAGCTCTTCTTGAAGGCGAACTGACAAATTGCTTTACTCACTATGAAGAAGATATAAAGGGGATGCGATGATGGTAATGATGGTGTTGGGTTTGTTAGGAGGGACCATGCAAAAAAAAATTGCAGTGTGTACAGATACACAGCACTTTTCACTTCAGAGAGAGAGCGAGAGAGTGCAATCACTGAGCAGTGTGTAAAGAGAGAGCGGAGGGAAAAAGTGCAGAGTAGTGTGGTACCTTCTTTCTCTTTTGTGAATGCTTATTTCCAAATTTTAGGCAATCTTTTTATAGTAATGCTCTGTTTCATCTTTCCATTTTGAGTAATTATATTTGCCACCCTTAAAGTATTATGCAATTCTCAATTTAGTCTTTAAATGTTTTTGTGGTATTTTTTTTTTAGGAAAATTTGAAGACCAGTCTCCCTATATGAACTTGTTTGAAATTAAGTCTGTCAAAAAAATTTATTTGTTATAAAATTCATTTTTTATCAATTTTATCATACTATCCATTTCCTTTAGAAGTGAAATAAAACTAAAAATTAAAAACTCTTAAATCTTAAGAGTTTGACTAACATTAAAATTTTTTCTCTTTTATATCTATATAGGCTAAAAGTTTGATTAATATTAAAATTTTTTCTCTCACTCTTATCTATATATATAGTAACATTAAAAATAAAAAATAGTAACATTCAAATACAAAAAAAAATTATTATTTGGACACAAAAAATAATACATTTAAACACAAAAAAATAGTAACATTAATATAAAAAAATTTAAACATTCAATATTAATATTTTTAAAAAATAACAACAGTAATATGTTCAATAAAAATATTAACATGTTCAACAAGAATAATAACATGTTTAACAAAAACTATAACATACTTAACAATAATTATTTCTCTCAAATTCAAATGCAAAAATTAGTACCATTCAAATACAAAAAATAGTAACTTTAAAAAAAGAAATAGTAACATTGAATATTAATATTTAAAAAAATAATAATAATAGGATGCTCAACAAAAACAGTAACATGCTCAAAATAATAATAATATGAACAGTAATATACTCAACAAAAGCAGTAACATGAAGAGTAATATAATAAAAAAAATAGTAACATAAATTTGAATTTTATATATATATGAGGAAAAATTTTTTTAATGTTAGTCAAATTCTTAATATATATATGAATATAAATAGATATGAGAGAGAAAATATTCACTTTCTTTCAAGGAAGGGTATTTTTGAGATAAAAAAAAATAGTAGACTTAAGTCATTACATATAATTTTAAACATAGATTTAATCCCTTATAAGTTTTCTTACAAGACTTATCTCAAAACAAATATATTTAAAGAGAAAAAAACAAGTGATCAGTGCGGTCACATTGGACCTACTCAATATAAAGTAAACCCCGGATACCTTCACATTCGCCAACACAAATATCTAATTATAAGTTCACTTCACATCGTTAGACCATCTATGCATGTAAATGGAAAGTTAGAGTGTTAAATAGATACAAAAAATAATAATTAAAGATTGGCATATACTTATTAGATCAATAATCTAGTGAACCTTTTTTGTTGGTTATGTGAACAAGTTCGAGCAATAGATAAAGATGTTTAAATTGAAAATTATTCTTTTATCTTTTAACTCGGCGATTTTACGATGTCTAATTCCTCCCCCCCTCCCCCCCGGTTGAATTGAGAACTTTCCATTCGCATTGGGAAACCTCGAAAACATGAAGAAATTAGGATCATGTTTGGTTTAGTTTTCAAAAACTGTTTTTTTTTCTCAAAATTTTGAAAACACTTAAAACATGTTTGTTTAGCATTTTTGTTTTCTAAATTTTGAAAAAAAAATGAGATTTGAGTCAAAGAAGCAAAAAACAAGTGTAGCTTGTTTTCAGAGTTTTTTTTGAAAATTTTAGAAACAAGGAGAATAATTTTGGATGTTCAGAGATGAATATATATATACATATTTATATAAATACATACTTGTATATATATATATATATATATTATGAAATTATCAACATAAAAATAAATTTTTTATTAATGTTTGAATTACTGTTTAAATAAATATTTAAATTGTCCAAACAAGTTTTACTATTTTTTTGTATTGTAAAATTATTTTTGAAATCATCTAACCAAACAAGTTTTTTATTTAAAAAAATATTAAAATTACTTTTTTAAACTCTTCTCAAAAACTGTTTTCAGATACTATTTTTTAAAGCGCAAATAAAATAATCCTGAGTTTTTCTTTTAGGATAAAATAGTTAATATAATGGTAATATCATGTCAATATTAATAATGGATAAAGTGAACACATTTGACTAGTTACTGACTTAGATAAAATTTATTTATATATTATTAATTAATAATATCACGTAATAATATTAATGTAATATCATTGTTACAATAAATATTTTTTTGCTCTTTTAGGATGAGGTTGGTGAGAAATGAGAATGATGCTTTACTGCCTATACTATACGTTTGTAGAGCACACCCAGTAGCTTTGACCAGTGAAAAGCAAAAAGACATCAAGAGCAGTGCACATGAAAATTCACTTTTTCACTTTGAGCAAACATTATTGGGGACACTCAATTACTTTCCCGGACCATTATGAAAGAAACAATTAATAGACGGCCCGACACCTTTTTTCCCGTGATTGCAGGACTCAGCCAACTCGCCTTAACTACGATCCCTAATCTCCGGAGTAAAATGGGTTTCTTTTGTATGTTGTGCGTTGCTGCTATTGTTGCCTTGTCCAACAGGTAAAGTTGACCCACTACCTTTGATCTTTATATCCCATGTTTGACTCAATATTTGAGATTTGGGATGTGTAGGTTATATGAATTTTAACTCATAATATATATATATATATATATAAAATAAAGAATAATATTGATGAAGTCAAAATTAACTAGGTTAGGCTTAATGAATCAAGAAAGGCCCACGTTATCTCGAAACTCAAGTCAATAAGTCAAGGAGGAGCCAAAGTTAAGAGAACTCAAAGTCAAGAAGGAGTCTAAGTGGGACACCTTCAAGGAACACCCCAAAGGGCGCCGCCCAAGTGGGCCACCCGAAGAGGATCCCTTCCCTTCTCTGTCTTATGCTCCCTCTCCTGTGCAACCTCGTGGAGTTCATCGCCCTTTTGACTCTTGTCCAGCACCCACCAACTCAAGTCCAAGCCCAAGATCCTCTTCCGGCTGAATAGGAGCACGAGGAGAAAATATCGGGATACACATGGAGATCTAATTCTACCATAACTGTACTTACTAAAAAGTAGTGACCACCTCACCAAACCTATATAATGTAAGCCCTCTTCACATAAAGGGCATGACCTTGGAGACCTCTCTACACACCAAGTCTTTGTCTCTCCCAAAGCACTGTAATTCTCATGAAGTATACTTTTTCGATGGCTTTTATTCATCAATAAAGATCTCTGGCCACCGTTTCCCGTTCCTGAGAGTGGAGTAGGTCACCCAAACCGAACCACTATAAATCTTGGTGTTGATTCGTTATTTACAATTTTGTCATTGATTGCCTATTTACTGTTCATTAATTATGTCTCTTGATATACTTGACTGTTGATTTTTCGCAAAGTCGATTTGTGCATTATCAGTTTGGTACCGTCTGTGAAAAACGACTAAATTTTTTACTCTCCTTTAATGTATGATAATCACAACCAGGTCGATGAGTCAACAACCAAGAGACAATAACCTGGCCCCCCAGGAAGAGGCTCTACTTCCCCTCGCACCCTCGGAGCCATCCACTACTGCGATTCCCATCGTCGGGCAACAGCTCTTACAAACCAAGCAATTGCTGGTAAATCAAAATTAGCAAATCATACAGCTGATGCTCACCCAAAAAGGTGTTGCCCCTCACCCTATAGGAGGAGCCTTGCTCCCTCCAACAGGAGAGGAGCAGCAGCCCATCCCGTCTTGGTGTCAGTCAGCCCCCCACCATAGAGCTCCTCACTAGAATGCCCCAGGACCACGCTAGGGTGCCACTCGCCCAGCAGTCCCTCCTCAGCACCTAGGGAGCTCACACGTTCCCCTTTACGCGTACTTGCGCAGGAGAATGAAGACGAAGAACGCCAATATGGTGACTATGAAAGTCAATATCGTCACCCGACTGAGGATGTCTCCAATCAGTGGGATGAGAAGATTAGAGAGATGCAAAACCAACTTAGTGATACCCTCAACGCCATCAAAGCACAGACACCTGAAACTGTGGACTACCTGGTAAGACGTACCGATACACCTTTTTGTTGCTGATATCGTCAATTATCTTTTACTCTCGAAGTTCAAGATGCCCACCATCAAGACCTTCGATGGTACCAAAGACCCCATCGACTATCTTGATACATATAAGTCCCTCATGCAACTCCACAATGTGCTTGAGGAGATTATGTATAAAGCTTTCCCTACCACCCTGAAAGGGTTTACCCGCCAATGGTTCGCAAAGATTAGACCCTCCTCCATTCACTCCTTCACAGAACTGAGTAGATCCTTCGTCTCCCACTTTATTGGGGGACGCCGACATCAAAAACTTGTGACCCACTTGCTCACCATCAAGCAGGACAGGGACGAAAGTCTCAAAGACTACCTTACCTGTTTAAATTAGGTGGCTCTCCAAATTAAGAAACCAGATGACAAGGTAGCACTAGTCTCCTTTATCGTCAGCTTCCACACCTCCAACTTTATGTTCTCCATTCTCAAGAAGCTGTCATCCAGTATGCCTGAGCTGTTGTCTAGGGCACAGAAATACATGAACACCGAGGACGTCACTAAAGTCCGTAGAGGTGAGTCCTCCCGAGGAGGAGAGAAAATGAAGGACACCCGTGAGGACAGGTGGTAAAAGGAGAACAAAAGGAATAGGACAAAGAGAATTTCTGTCAAGGACCGCCTTGGTCCCTCACCTCTAAGAGAGCGACAAGCCTTCATGTCGCTCAATGCTTCTGTGGAGCATATTCTGTTCCAAATACAGGATGATCCTACAGTACGCTGGCCAGAGAATATGAAGACTACCTTGAACCGAAGGAGACTGAACAAGTACTGTTGCTTCCACTGCGACCATGACCATGATACTGATGACTGTCTTGATCTTAAAAGGCAGATCGAGGAGCTTATATAACGTGGCCAATTGAAGCAGTACGTTGTTGCCAGAGGACAAGCCCCACCACCTGGCCAGGACCAGGCCGACAGAGAACG